ATGCTGGAGCTGCGAAAGGATCTACAAAGCGAAAGTATGTTTTGATGTCCATCAGACAAAAAGTGGAATTGCTGCAAAAAATGGATAAAGGCATATCCTTTGTTTCTCTAACCATTCCGAAATCTGTTTTCACGCTGCTCTGTGGGGGGGGAGGGGGTAGCTGCAGCGCTCAATGAATTGGAAGTTGATCTGTCAACACTATCCTTATCTTCAGGGCAGATGTTTTTATTTTATTTGGCTTATAATTCCTTACTAAATGTAATATTTCATCTCGATGTACTCTGTCTTTGGTATGATTTAAATCAAATTCCTTGTCTTTACAATTCGCTTCCGATAGTGAAGAAAATGACACAGAGTTATTGAAAACGAAAAAATTTCGATTGACAAATTAGTCGGTATTCTCGACACAGGAATTATAGGACTTAAACAGCGGAACTTTGTAACTGAACAAGAAATTATGTCTGTTTATAGAATTAAAGAGAAAGTATTAGCACATAAAATGAAGCAAATTAAACAACTTACATTGAAAGAAATGTTTAATAAAGTAAACCAATAAATATTAAGCTTTTGTTTTGGTAAATTTTGATACCCTTTAGATCATAATTGCCCTTTATTTCATAAATTACGGTTTCATATTTTTAATTTTATAATTTCTGCATGCCATCGTACCAGAGTTAAACTGATGATCTATAATCCGGAAAAATCGATAATCCGGAATCGCCAAAGTCCTGACGAGTCCGGATTAAAGACTTTTGACTGTATTTCTGTTGAAAAATTTGTGATTACAATATTTCTTTTACTTCTTACAAGGAAGTAAAATAATGTAGAAAGAAAATGAGTATCCAAAGTGAAACAGTAACTCTTCATTAAAATGGTAAAACTGAGAAATTCCTGAAGGTATCAAAATTAATATAGAAGATTCTTTTTTGTATTCTATACATTAGGCTGTTGAATATGGGAAGGTATACAAGAGTTTGCCTGAGAGGATTGCAATTTCGTAGGCTATTTTCTAATGGAAACTGTCAATAATAATATGTATTTTTCGTTTAGTGAGATACATCTTTTATATACTTTATTGAAATTCTGAAATATATTTCTGTCATTTGGCAGAATTTATGGTAAAATATTTACTGTTTATAAGCATAAGGTTTATATCTACTTTTATTCCACTTGAACTTTTGTATAAAAATGAAAGAAAGAAAAAAAAAAAAAAAATCATAGATGTGATCATAGCAAAGCCAATGTCATTTTTACATGATTGGAAAATGCAAAAACCACAGAATTTGTTGAAATTCTTTTCATAGCACTATTTTTGAAAAGAATAGCATGATACGAGGTTTGGAACTTTAATAGTGGCAACACAGCTGAAAAAACGCTACGCAACAAAACCAAAGAATATTGCGTATACCACACGTAAACTACATACCTACCTTACCTCTCAGCAAAAAACTCGTCCTGACTACGTCACGTGCATGTGGAGTGACGCGAAGAACGGATTGTTGGAAAATATGACCTATTGTAACCTTTTTCTGCATCATCTCTCCTCCTTGAAATAATTCTAACTTTTACATAAGGCTTAGTTCTTATTTTAAAGGGATATAGTAGTTATTTCTACTTCGTTTTTCTCTGCCACTGTTTGTATTAAGAACGGACTGTTCCAGCCTAATTAAGATGCAAAAACAAAACTTGATGTTACGTCATCTGGAAAGCCGAGTCGTGGCGATAACTGATTGATTGCCGTGAGATGACGTCATGTCTACTTCTGGTATAAGTATCTTGCGTTGCTCTGGCTTATTCCTTCTGGTTCCTGTTTCTTTGCTCCTTGGTGTGCCGTTCCAGACCCATTGAAAGACGATGTTGCGATGCATGCCAGCCAGCAACTAAGTGCCATGTGGTTCCAGTCCGCAAAGATGACCTTTTTCTGGATCCTGAAAAAGCGGCAACAATGTGAGCGACTGCCGTGGGCTAGGTATCCTGTTTTCATGAAGTCGGCATCTTCAACACAAGTGTTTTTCCAGAATTAGCGGCAATGTTTTTTCCAAGCTGTGATTTCTCATATGTAACTACATGTGAGCGGCTTTTTGCCGGTTTTAGTGCTCTCAAGGATTTAATTTAATTTTCCAGTGCCTTCACCCATTGACCATTCGAAGGACATGAACATTATAGATAGTGAAGCAACTATTCTTCATTCGTGATCTATTGAACAGGGAAATTTTTTATCTAAAATATGTTCCAAGTAAAGATAATCTGGCTGATCCCATGACAAAATCGCTGACTAAACATAACTTGATAAGATTTTGTGGAGAGACTTTTTCTGGATCCTGAAAAGCGGCAACAATGTGAGCGACTGCTGTGGGCGGTATCCTGTTTTCATGAAGGCGGCATCTTCAACACAAGTTAGCGGCGATGTTTCTAAGCTGTGATTTTACGTGCGTAACTACAGTGAGTGGCTTTTTGCCATTTTAAGTGCTCTCAAGGATTTAATTTAATTTTCCAGGTGCCTTCTTGACCACGAAGCATGGACTTATTGATTGTGTAGCAAATTTCATTATAACCATGTAATTTCTGTTTAGTGATATGTTTTTCGCGTATTGAATGCCAGTATTTGGAGATCAGGTGAAATATTTTTTAATAGTGTAACATTCTTTAACGGAAAACCCTTGGGGTTAATGGATTATCAACTAAGTGTAATTTTTTATCATGATTATGTTATACTCTTTAAGTTTCTGATATTGATTAAATTTATTCATTGTGTTTTTATTTTTATATATTGTTAATAAATTGGATAAGTTTAAAAATTTTGTCTTCAATATCTGTACAATATATAACCTTAGGGAGCTTCTATTGCTACTTTTGCTAAAAGTTTAATTTTACAACTTTAAACTTTGCTTTTGCATCACGGATCCTTGTATTAGCTCATGGTCTAAAGTAAGTGTTGTCAGGATGTTTTCAAAACAAGAACAACGATGTTGGATAAAAATTGAATGTGCCAGAGGTCGTACAGCATGACAGTGTCATCAAAGGCTTCAAGAGGCTTGCGGGGAATCTGCATTGCCTTACAGAACCGTAGCAAGATGGGTAAAAGCATTCAATGAAGGAAGCCAAAACGTGGCAGACATGCTGCAGCCAGGTTGTCCGAGTGTCAGCGATGCAGACGTGCAAGCTGTTGTCGCACTAATGGACAGAGATCGCTGCCAAACGATTTGTCAACTGGCCAGAGAAAAAGGATTAGCGCATACGACTGTGCTGCACATTCTGAAGGAACGCCTGTCCATGAGAAAAATTGCTTCACGATGGGTTCCACATCAGTTGACGGAAATGCAGAAATGGCTAAGATACGATGCTGCCCAAACTCACCTGGAGCTATATGAGCGCGAAGGAGATGCTTTTTTACGCCGTATCATTACTCTGGATGAGACTTGGGCCCGATCGTACCAGCCAGAACTGAAACGCCAATCGAACGAATGACATCATCACGGGTCACTACGACATTCGAAATTTCATTAGAACCCCAGCAGTGTGAAAGTTATGGTGATTCTCATGTACGACTGTGATGGTGTCATTCTAATGCATACCGTTCCCCCACAGCAGACCGTCACTGTGCAGTATTATTTTGGAGCACAATCTCCGACCAGCTTTGAGAAAAAAACGGCGACACTTTCTGCAGAATGCTCCTCTCATTTTGCATGACAATGCTCGGCCGCATGCAGCGCAAGCTGTGACTGAATTGTTCAAGCGATGGGGCTGGGAAGTGCTTTACCATCCACCATACTCCCCAGATCTAAGCCCTTGTGACTATGACTTAATTCCTAAGATGAAAGAACCACTTCATGGCACTCGCTTCCAAACTGTTCCTGAGGTTCTTGCGGCAGTAGACCGGTCCATTCAAACTATCAATAAAACAGGCGCTGCTACAGGTATTCTGCGACTTCCAAATCGTTGGAAACGGGTGTACACAATGCTGGCGACTATATTGAAGGACTGTAAAACATGGTGACATGAATCACTTTTGTATTCCTTGTAAATAAATAGTTGCCACTATTAAAGTTCCAACCCTCGTATTTACGGGATCTGTTGATTAGTAATTGTTTCCCCCTAATGTTTGCACCAAAATATTTAGGGGTAGATTTTTTATTTATTTTTTTAAAAGTCATTGTAAGTATAGTATAAGTCATATTAAGTATTATATTCTAGATACACTGTTATATCTTTTAATCTTTATATCTGTTGCATGTTTGAACATTATATCACTTAATTCCATTTGTAATTATCTCTACCTATTAATCTCCATTAAACAGCATAAGCAGTTTCACTAAATGTTTTGAAGATGATTTGGAAATATTTGATACTTGAGAGAGTTACTAATAAGTCTTTTTTGCGGGGGGGGGGGAAGTATTTTGTTTACCTAATGTTTTGAGTATCTTTTCATTTTTATCAGCTTTTGATTTGCTATCAGATTATTTATCTTACATTTTCTCATTTACATTGCTTCATTATTCCACTGTCTGTTTTACTATCACATATACCTTATTGTCTTCATATCTGACATCAGGAAACTTATTATATATATATAAATTTCATTCCATTTTTGGCATCCATAATGTTATGTTATTGTTTAAATTTCAAAAACATTAGAACATCAAAATACTTTATAGTGCACAAACTGCAAAACTAATGCAATTTGTAGTTGCAAACTTTGACCAGTTGTGTAGGTTAGTAATTTAGTGGCAACAAAAAAATTGCTCAAGAAATGATGTGACTATTCATCAGCAGCAGTCAGAAAGAGTGATTGAAATTATGATTTCATGTAAATGGCAACCAGAAACAGCATTTGATATAGTAAAAATTGCAAATCAGTATCATAAATGATAAAATTTGCATCATCAGTGTATAAAATATGATACACAATAAATTATGTATTAAAAAGATTGTTCTTTAAAATGGTTTATTTTGTTCTTTTTATATGAATGTATTACTATATTTTAAAAAAATATTTTCAGATATTGTGCTGCATGTATTCATAACATGCTGTTATTGGTAATTTTGTCAAAAATTGTAACACTTTGCCTATTTAAACTTTAAGATTTACCTTGCTGAAGGTTCTTCAAATCTGTGAATTAATGTATCATGTATATCAATCAGATATTGTTTAGTATAATTCCCTTTTTTGTATATATTATTTCAGAAAAGCTTGAGAACTAATGAACCAACACCTGTTGAATTGACTAATGCTCCAATGCAGAATTCAGTGATTGCAGCTGAACATCATCAAAAATTAACAAGTTTGAAGCATCCTGATAATATGACACAAGCCATAAAGGAAAATTTAAGCTCTTTGCAAAATGATATTAGGAGTGTAAGTGTGCAGTCCTCAGCGGAACTGCAAAATTTGCACAGAATGGATTTAGATGCTGTGGCGAGTTCAGAAATTGCATCAAGAAATGAACAGATGTTAGAGAAGCAATCAGTTCAAGAGGATTCAGAATGTGATTCTAATATAACTGCTTTAATTACAGAAATGGTTGATACAATTTCATCTAATAATAATTTAGAAAGGTTTGAGGATGAAAATTCTGACATGAACTTTTCCAAAGTGGAATTAGCAAAAAATAATATTGTAAATGAAGCTGAAAGTTCAGAGCTTGTAAAAAATGTTTCTTCTGAAAAGGAAACCAATAAAGGTAAAATAAATAAAAAGAGAAAGTATATTGAGATGGATTCTGATGTTATTAATTCTGAAGTTAAGAAAACAGTGCAGATGATAATGGAAAAAGTAACTAGTAGTAAAAATGCTAACTCTACAGATAAGAGAAAGAAAAAGGTGTTTAAAGCATCATTTACTCATAAGAATGGCGGAAAGTATTCATCTGAAAAGATCAAAGGCACTGATATTCCAAACAAATCTGATATTTCAGTATTTCAAGAAGGGAAACCTCCTTCTAAGTCTGTTGTAGTTTCATCGAACGATTTCGCCTCTCGTGTTTCATTTCAAAAATCTGCAAACTTGAATAAAGATCATAGTATAGGTAAGCCCAGAAGTTCTAAAAAGCTAAGCCATAAAACAGTTGATTTAATCAATCAGATATCTTCAAATTCTGATGATGGGGGTAATTCGTTTAATATTATAGATGAACAAGTTAATCAAACACCAGTTTTGAATACTGATGCTGAAGATAATGTGAATCAGTTAGTACAGTCATCTACAGATAAAGTTGTTGAACATATGCCATGTGTAAACAATGAAGTTATTCTTGAAGAAAGATATGAAAAATGCACTTCTTCTGCAGATATGAAATATTCTACTCATTCTCAAGATGTACTAAATCCATGTCAGTCATCTGAACTGAAACAAGTCAAAAATGAAAGGAATAAAGCATCATCATCAATTCTGAAGGAAAGGAAAAATCATAGTACAAATCAGGCTTTAACAGACAAAGTAACTTCATGTGAAGTCAGTCAATCTGCTACTGATTATGATCCAGATGGAAAAGATTTGCAGGAATGGGAAACTCATGAACAATCTCAGTCTGTTTTAGAATCATGTGATAGCATATCTCATACTGTGGCAGATCCTTGTGCTTCTAGTACAGAAAGTGAAGTCTTTGAAAAAAGCAAAATGTTAGGGAGAAATAAGACAGAAAATACAAATGCTGCTAAAGTTTCATCTTGCGAAGTAACTCAATCTAATAATTCAGAAAAAATGTCTCCAAAAAGTACTGAAAATACTAATGAATGTGAAGCATCTGTTAAGAATTCTTTGGATAATGGAGCAGAAAATTTTTATCCATCTCCCAAAGAACTTAGAATGCAAGATGCAAAATTTGGATGTTCTTTGGTTGAAGTCAGCCAGTCTGATAAAGAATGTGAAACTCAAAAGTTTAAAGGTTCAATAAAAGGTATTAAGAAATCTCTACAGAAAGAAGGAATGGTTTGCAGTCAGTCATCAGATTCATCATTTACATTTTCAAGAGAAACAATTGTTGATCCATGTGTCTCATCATGTGACATCAAAAACCGTAGTCTTAATGAAGAAACGATACCAGCTTCTTCATCAGAAAATGGAAATTTAAGTACTTCTTGTGAAGTTACCCAGTCTGATAAAATTGAAAACTTATTAACTGAAAATGAAAACAAAAGAGAATTTAATGAATGTAGTCAATCTGTTAATAGCATAGCTAGTGCTTCAAATAATGTAGCAAGTGAAACTGATTACTTTCATACAAATATATCCTCAGATTCTAAAAACATTGCTAGTACTAAGGGAAGTGCGTCTAAAGATACATTATGTGAAGTTAGCCAATCATTCAAGTCAGACAGTCTTGATTCAAATTCTTTAAAACAAGAAAATTTAAAACTTGCAGGTAACTCTAGTGAGTGTGAAGTGTTTTCAAGAAGTGATCATTCAGAAAGTTCTGATGCTGGAAACAATTGTGCTGATAATTCATATATTTCTTCAGAAAACATATTTTCAGATTCTCTGCGTGTAAATGCAAATAATATGCCAAATCCATGCGAAGTAAGCCAATCATCCAGTTGTGAAAATGATCTAACATCAAAAACTGGTACATCATCTGATGATAAAACAAATACAAATGAATGTGAAGTATTCCAGAGTAAGAGATCTATACAAGATTCAAGTATGTCTTCTGAAGGCAAAAAAATACAAAAAAGACCACTTTGTGAAGTCAGCCAATCTATTGTATCTGAAGAAAGAATTAATAAAGGGAAAAATTCTGGTGTTTTAGGCCTTAAAGCAAGAGAAAAAGCTAGTGGAGAAGTTGGAAATAATTGTGAAGTTAGTCAATCTCTTAGTCGTGAGCAAGAATTATTTGAAACTAATGATGATAACATTACCGCAAGTAAAATAGACATAGCATCCACATCACATTCATCTAATGAATATGAAAAAGAAATGGAATGTGAATCGTCAGACGATATATCTGATGATATTTGGAATGATAAACATAGAAATAAAGATTTAACAGGTGAAGTTTCTCAATCAGACAGATCTCAATTTAGAGATAACTCTCTTCCACATTCATCAAAATTGATCAGTACAGATATAGGAGATTCTAGTGAATGTGAAGTGTATGGTCAGAGATCATTAGATACTTCCTTAGAACAACATTTAAATCAAGTAAAAAGTGGTGTAAAGGAAATCTGTGGATCATCTGAAGATGTTGAATTCTTTCCGGGCACACATACATCTTTAAATTTAAAATCTGAGTGTAAAAGCTCTACAAATGAAATAAGCCAATCGATAAAGTATGACAAAAGATTAAAAACTTTTTCTTTGGATAAAGAGAATAATACAAATGAATGTGATATGTCAGGACAAGATGGAACTAATATCACCAGTGGACTAGCAAGGGATATATGTGAATCTTCTGAAGATGTGCATGTTTCTAATCCTGTTGTTTCATTTCCTGATGAATGTACCTCATCTATTAGAGATACAAAAGTTTTGACTAATGAATCTGAACAGTTACTTAAGGTGTGTGATTCGTTATCAAATGCAGAAACCACTTTGTTGATGAATGAAACAGAAAATTGTAATATTTCTCAATCAGAAAGCCAAACTATAAATGATGATATTGCATCTGTTGGAGGAAACAACAATTTATCCCTAGATTCATCTAATGTCCTTGATTCTGTAAATGTTTCTTCATCTGTTGATAGTTTGAGTTCTAGTTATATAGATTCGATTTACTCATCATCTGTTTTCTCGAACTCTTCACATAATTATTTATCAGTATCACTACTGAATTCAGAAGTTACACAATCTTGTGCAAAAGATAGTCCTCAAAAGCAAGAAGAAAATACAGAGACTTTAAATAATGAGAATTCATCTGCATGTCTGATAGCTTCAGAAACAAATGATGAAGTCTCACAACCAATAGAATTTAATGGTGTTCAGTCTTCAGATGATTTAGAACATACACATTTAACACTTTTAAATGATCGAGTAAATGCATTAGAATCCTCATCTGCATTAAATAAGTCATTTTCTATTGATGAACCTGGGACATCAAGCAGCACTGCCCACAGTTTTCAGGATGATTTTTCTGGACCTGAATTAGTAGAATCATCAACTGTAGCATGCCCATTAGCTCAAAAAAAGGAGCTTGCTGAAAATATAAATTCAGTTACAGAAGAGCAAGATGTTAAAGATGTCCACAGACACATAGAAGCTTTAAAGTGTATATCTAATGCATCCAATAAGAATGATGATCAAAATCAAAAACTTAACATTTCTGAATCTCAGTCTTCTGGGCCGGTGATATTGCAAGACAATTTGGATCATTCAGATGTAAATCAGCTCTCTGAGCAGCAGTCAGTACCATCTAAAATCGTGTCATCTTCTAGAGCTGAAAAGCAAATTCCAGGTTCTAGACCATCTTTATTAGAAGTCATAGTATCATCAGCAAGTGACTTCAGAAATTCATTAATCCACGAGGGTAATAACTTTGTTAGAAAAAAGAGTCAGCGTTCATCACCAGGACAGGCTGTTGAATCCTCATCAAGCAGTATAGAAGCAACAGATGGATATTCTGAGTCATTTAATGAAGCTATTGGGTACTCAAATGAGCTTGATAATCAAGATAACAAAAGTATTCAAGCTGGAACAGATCCATTAAAAGATCAAGTAAATGAATATCCAGATTCAGAAGTTTCTGGCTCTTTTGAACAAATTCCCAGAGATAGTATTTTGGATGAGCAGAATAATAGTCAGCATCAAGTTAGTCAGTCCTCTGAAATTGTTAATACACATTCATCTACCAGTAAAGCTCATACTTTACCATCTGATATCACAGAATCCTCTCAACGAGATTTTGTGCAGTCATCAACCAGCATCTCCAGTGTCTCAGGATGTGTAACACTAAAGGATTCTTCTTTAAATTCAGAGCAGGTTAGTTCTGCTGAAGAAAGTGTTTTGACTAGTAATTTAGACATTAGTGAAATATGTGAATCTTCTTCTGCACAAGATGTAGTATCAAATAACAGAAACACTCCAGTTGCAAGTAATTCTGAAAATCATGGTAATGTCACAGAATCTTCAGCTGGTATGTTAAAATATCCTGCTAATTATAAAACTATTTCACAAGTTGAAAATACTGAAAGTGAAGTGTCTTCATCACCTTGCGATACTCATTATTCTGCATTAGACATGTCATCAGTTGATGGAAGTGGACAATGTTCTGTTGTTGAAGGAAACATAGTGATACAAGGCAAATTATGTAGAGAATCAAGTAGGCCAAATGACTTATCTCATGACACAGCAGCATCAATTGATAATCAGGAGGCATCATGTAGCAGTATCACATCTAATTCAAATTCACTTCAGTGTCTTCCTTGTGGATCATCATATGCGGAAAAAAATGAAATCACAGAATTACATGAGGATAGATTATCATCATTCAATGTAATTGGTTCATCTAATGAAGCGAAAGTATTAATACAAGGTACATCCTCAGCATCAGTTATAGAATTAGACCAAAGTGAGGACAGAATTCAACTTCATTCTTCTCAAAATGAAGGGGATTTGAGTTCATCAGATGTAATTTTTGAAGCAAATGTTGCTAATTCACCACTAAATGAAGTAGAAATTGTAGCTGATGTATATGAGTGTGATGAAAGTAGTGCTTCCTGTGAAATGCAAAATAATTCTTCCTTGTGTGAAGTAACAGAATCTCATGCAGTTACAATGGATGATTTGTTAGAATCCTCCCCTGGGGAAAACAAAGTATCTTGTTCTGTTTCAGAAATCTCTTTGAATAATCAAACATTTTATAAAAATTATGGGTTTAATGAAAATGAGTTTTATCAACTTTCATCACATGAAGCTGTAGCTAAATCACCTGATAATTGTGAATCATCATATGAAGTGAATATATGTGATAATGTACTAGCAATGCAAAGCATATCACATGCTGCTTCTGAGAATGAAGAACTGAGTATGTATTCTCATGGAGCAGATTTTGAAAATGATTCTGTTCAATCTTCATCATTTGAAGCACCATTTTCTGTAAGTGAACAAATAAAAGTTATTTCTTCCCCAACTTTTACAGATGCAAACTGTTTTGAAGTGCAAGCACCTTTGACTTCAAATTCATTCATGACATTACCATCAGAAACACAGTTTCTGGCTCCAGACCAATGTGACATATCTTTAAATAAATTTACATCATCGTCATCTTCATCTATGTGTACTTCTGAAGTTACACAGTCCAATCCTGAAGACTCTGTCATTGTCTCTAATTATAGTACATGTAAAGACAGACAAAGTTCACCTTCAACTTCAACATCAAATAACATAATTCATGAAACAGATAGCTCGCAGATAGCTGTATTAAAGACAGAAGATAATTTGTACTTAGACAATAAGTGTACTTCCAATAACTCTTCTCATTTATGTACTAATGAAAATGATGATTATTCGACCCAAGAAACTCATTTTGAGTGCACTGAGGAAATTATATCTGACTCTCACTCTGATGTAGATAATTTAGCTGATTCAACAGAAGATGGAACTGATATGGGTTCTTCTGATTCTAATGCAAAGTTATGAAATGCATTAAAAGGAATTTTTAAAAAAATGTATATAACTGCAGAATATTTATAGTTTTTTTTTTTTTTTTTTTTTCTTTGGACTATAAGATTTTGTATAAATGTATTAAGAACAGTAAAGACAATTTCTATTCTGTGACTCAATTTTCATCAAGATTGTAAAATTATTTGAAAATGTAAGAAATAAATCTTTATATTTACTGCTTATTTTATATTTATTCTGTATGTATATAAAATATTTTTTTTTTCAAAAAATATTTTTTCAAGATTTTTGTATTTTACTTTTAGATCTTAACATTACCTCCCCCAAAAATATTTATGTGTTAGTTAAAAACTTTATGCTAACATATATATAATGAATATAAAAATCTTGTGCTTGATCTACCTTTCCCAGTTTTCAGTACAAAATTTAAATATGGAATTTTGCAGAATGGTGTAAAATAGAATAAGGATTTGAATTAATTTTAATATTTTCAAATATTTTAAATATAAACTACAGAATAACCTAGTATATGTAGTCTCTCAGGAGGTAGAAAATGCCATAAAAACTAAATATGTATTATGGAACAAATAACTAATATAGAAAATAAGGGTTATTTTCTAAAAATTGACAGAACTGCTTAAATTTTTTTAATAACCATTAAAGCTATGTGCATTAAAAATATCAGTAATTGCTCAAAAGGGGTATTAAATATTAAATGATAAGTAAAAAATAATTTTTTTTTCAATCAGTGCTAAGCAACAAGAGTGGTTTTTTTGTTTTGTTTCTCCAAACAAAATACTCTTAGCTTCGTGATTTTTCTATGCCCCCTCTCCTCAGAATGCACTTCAGGCCTCTTTTTCACAGAGTAAGAAGAAGAAATGTGTTTAAAAAACTAGAAGATGCCTTAGCATACGTGAATGAGGATAACTTTCCTGATCCGACAGGCCCACCAGCGGCCGAGCGGTAAAGTCGCTGATTACTGGTAGTTCGGTCCGAGGTTTGAATCCCGCGAACGGGCTGACTGCATGGGCGTTTTCATGGTTTTCCCCATGTGTAATGTGTATACGAGCCAGTTTCCCTTAGAAAGTCCTCCACGAAGACATCCCTTAGGCAGATATCCCTCGTGTGCTTTGCCATAATTAAATACACCACACCACATGATCCTACAGAGCCTCTTCCATCTGCTCTTGCATATTTTCAGATTGTCATTCAAAGATCTGATAAATTATTCTTGGGGACCCAACAAATTCGTATAGTTTTCAACAAACAAGAACTTCTCTTATGGTCACGGCAAATGAAATAATATGAATGATTATCAGAATAGGATTAGTCCGAAACTTCACATTAGAGATATTGAGAAGAGGGAATAAATATGAACTAATTGGAAGTAAGCTAAACTGATTTGAAAAAACTTAAGATTTTGCATATTTTGATAATTCACGAATTGATGATGATGTTAGAAGTGACAAATCTGGAAAGTGCGACCATGGTTGTCTAGACTTAAGAAAACATGCTATCCGTTCCGGTGGACCAAGCAGTCTATTGATGAAATAATGATTCCCATTTCGTGGACAAACCATATAAACAATATATGCTAAAAAACCTCATAGCACTCGGTTTAAAAATGTTGACCCGGTGTGGACAATAATTTTGTACGATTTTGTGTTTACAGGGAAAATCTGAAGGTTACTATTGATTAAATTGCCTATGCATTAGGTCTAGAAGCAGGTGTTGTGATGCAGTTACGCAGCATTCTAAATAACCCAACGAAAACTACTCTCTTTGCGGTTACCTTTTACCCTGGAATCCCATTAGTATGTGAATTATCCAAGAAAAGTATAGGATTTGTTGGAACATTGAGAGAAAACAGGCTGATGAAATGTAAATTAAAGAAAAAGAAGGAATTGAAAAAAGAAGACAGAGGATCCATTCATTATTCTGTAGCATCTGTAAAGAACGCATATATCATAGCTGTAAATATAAATATTGTAACCTTAAATATTTGTTTTTCAGTTATTACTTTTAGGATCAAAGAACTGATGGTGTGCATCACTGGCCAGTGTAATAATTTCATTAGGCAAAGATGCCACATGCCCTAGAGGAATATTTACTCAAGTTAAATGTGAGAAATGTAAAAATATCTTTGTTTTAACAAGAACAGAAACTGTTTTTGAGCTTATCATTTGTAAATAACTGTACATAAACTAAACCAAATCTAAAAAAAATGTGTTTGGAAATCACTTGATTTGTGCCCTAATCTGCCCATGGTAGCATATTTGCTATCATTTTCACAATTTTTCGCCATGTTTGTTTTATTTAATCTAAAATAACACTCTTTTTAACTAACAAATAATTTTTTGTTTGGAAATTTCTTGTGGTGGGCAGTAGAGGGTTAAGAATTAAAATAAGATTGAATAAATGTAATGAAAATTTGCATCAGATGCAAATTTTTTGAACACATCTGTTTCTGAGATAAATGTATCGTCATCGGCTATGAAATTGTCAAAGTAAAATATTCCGAAATTTTCAGGAGATGCAGGAAAATGGTTTTCAAGCTGCGATTGATCAGAATAAAGCGCTTACCAAGACTGAAAAAATTTGTATACTTGAAATCTTTATTGATAGGGCAAGCATATAATGTCGTTGAAGCATTCCAGTTAACCGGACATAATTACGATTCGTGCTTAGAACTTTTAAAAGAACGCTTTGGAAAACCAGAGAAAAATTATAAAATCACATATGAATAATCTTTTGGATATAGAACCACTTAAAAATTCTACTGTTTTTGAGCTTATCATTTGCTCAAAAACAGTTAGAATTTTTAAGTGGTTCTATATCCAAAAGATTATTCATTCGAAGCTTAAGTAATTTAGGACTAACTTCGGATTCGTACGGACACTTGTTAAATCCGATATTATTGAAATTATTGTTCATGATTTGATTCTCGAATATTACCGAAAGCGTGATCCAAAAGAGGAATCTGATGTTACAGGTTTAATTGCTTTTTTGAAAAAAGAAATTGAATGCTGTGAACAAACGTACACAGTTAACAAACCGGAACCGAAATTCATTCCATTGAACGGAAAGAATAAACACTTCGACAAACACAAAAGTAATTTTAAATACACAAACAATAAGTTTAACTCTAAAGTTAACTCCTCGTCGGTGGCAGAATTATTAGCTCCCATAAAAGAAGAAAATTGTATTTTTCGCAAAAATAACACATAATAGGGAAAAGTGTATATGAGAAGCGAAATGTACTGAGATTACAAGGTAGATGTTATATTTGTCTGGCTCAAGGTCATAGATTGTCAGACTGCTCTGAGAAAAACTCGTGTATACTGCCAGAAAAAATATAATGCAACCCTTTGTTACAAAAATGAGAAAAAAACCTGAAACATCGCAATCAAAAGGTGTAGAAAATTCAGCGTGCAATCACATTAGCATCGGTAAAATAAAATATTTTTTACAGACGGCGACAGTAGAACTTAAAAGTAGCTCACGCAGTAAATTAGTTCGTTGTTTATTTGATAACGATAGTCAACGCTTGTATTTTCAGAAACGTCTGTCTAAACAACTGGGATTAAAAGTCGTGGGAAGGGAAGAAATTATGATTCATACTTTCGGGATTTAAAGTGCCTACCAAACAGAACTGTGCGCGAGTGGAAGTAAAAATGAAAAACATTTTTGATAACTAGGAATTAATTATTGAGGTTTTAGAGACTGATGAGATATCAAAAGCTGACCTAGACTATCCACCCGAAAATATTAAGGAGTTGTTAAAAGATAGGGGATTAATTTTACCGGATGTTGATCACGAATCTTTAGATAACAACAACGTATCTTTGCTCATTGGAGCTGATTATTATTGGAAATTAGTAAAGGACGAAATTGAACGTTTGAACTCAACATTAGTTACAATGGAAACCAAAATGGGTTGGATTTTAATGGGAAAACTGTTTGATCACATTGAAGATAAGGAAAATGTGACTCATGCCGTCGCAGTGACTTCTTTATTAATTCACACATCGAAGATTGAAAATTTTTAGAAATTAGATTTATTGGGTATTCGAGACCCTGTTGAAACAAAATGCAGAAAGGAAATGGAAATTGCCTCATTGAATCATTTTAACGAAACTTAAAGAGGGAAGATATGAGGTTTAGTTGCCTTGGGTGATAGAAAAGAACTGTTTAAGTCAAAATTTCGATATTGCTTGACAGCGTACAGTACGACACACCGGTGGATACAAGAGGGCAAATTCGAGGATTACGAAAATGTGTTCACAGATTGGTTAAATGAAGGAATTATAGAGGAAGTCCCTGAACACGAAATGAATGATCAATGTCACTATTTACCACATAAAGGGGTATTCAAAGAAACTTCGACCACGAAATTTGCGACCGGTATTTGATGCTTCATATAAAGATAAAAATTCGCGCTCACGTAATGATTGCCTAGAAAAGGGTCCAGATTTTGCTGGAACAAATTATTCCTACAATTTTAAGATTTCGCAAGAATAGAATAGGAGTTATTTCAGACATAAAAAAGGCTTTTTGGAAATATCAGTGAATAAGAGTGATCGAGATTTCTTACGATTTTTATGGTGGAAAGACTTTGACTAGGAGGAACTTAGAGTTTTTAGACATAAACGCGTTGTTTTTGGATTGAATTGCAGTCCCGTTTTATTGGCTGCTGTATTAAGCCATCACATTGATCTAAATTCGTCTAAGTATCCTGAAACAGCGGGAAATTTAAAAGAATAATTTTACCTAGATAATTGCATCACATCTGTTCCTGATGAAGAAATACTTACGTGATTCATCGAGGAATCGAAACAAATATTAGAGTCTGCGTCATTCGACCTGAGAGGGTGGGAGCACACTTCTCTTTTGGGAAAAAGTTCTATTCGTGGATTGATGATTTGTCACTTTTATCCAATGTTAAGTCCAAGGGCTTAAGATATAAATGGAAATGAAAATCTTAGTCTTCATACATTCTGTGACGTAAGAAAACAAGC